TATACGTAATTAAGCTTATAATTATACCCTTAACGCTTAAGTAAGTATTTAAATAAGAAAAATAATACTTATAATAACTTTAATAATAGGCTTAATTAAGGGGTATATTAAAATAAGTTACTTATTATAAGTATAAATTACGTACGCTTAATTAAATAAGAGTAAACCCTTAATTATAAGTAAATAACCCTAATAATAAGCGTAATTATAAAAAGAGTATATATAATTCTCTCTTTTATAGCTAGACATAGACTTGTATATATACATTATCGTTATAATTAGTGCCCTTTAAAGTGTGACAGTCTAGTAAGCCTAAGACTGTGGGGACGTCCCCTATGAGTGGTATTTTAGGGTAGTGCCACCCTGTCAATTAATACGATGAGACTGTTTACCACAGATGGTGGGAAAAACGACCTAGGTAGCCAACCACCTTTTTTGTATGATAAACGATGCAAGTGAACAGGCTCAGGCGAGGAACTGCTTAAAAGTTGGAGGCAGAGACGGTGGCTGCCTGAACCGTATTTGATGTCTACCCGCCATTCATGTACGTTGCTAAAGCCCACACTACTGTGCTTGATCCTGTGCGTGCATTTTGTTCCCCCATATAAAATGAACGGTAGAGCTGGACTCCATCGAATGTGCTCATTATGGAATAGAATATTCACCAAACCCATCGGAAACAATGAACTTCTGCTATACAACGGGCTTCTGAAAGGTCAATGAGGTTAGTCACATACCTGGGTACGCTGGTCTTCAACTTAGGCACCTAATGTAGCGGGCCAATGAAACACGTGGTGTGGCAGCTGAGCCGGGAGCCCTGGACGGTTGCCTGACGAGGCCAGGTCCATCCGACCGGACTGTCTGTCAGTCACCTCCTGGATTATCCAAAGTTCTACATACGACAGGTCGTCCCTAACCACAATATACGGATGAGCACGGCTCTGCACGATCAATTGTGCCCCCATCCCCTTTTCTACACACAAAAAGTTAATATTCCCGTATGCCTGCGGATTTTTCGGTTCTATAAACCCCACCAGTTTTTGTGCATTCCTTTCGCAGCTACTAACAGCCCAACCTTCCATGAACAGGCAAGGACACGACACCGTTCCCGGAGTATCAGAAGCAAATCGAGCATTATTCGTACTGGACGCTCCTTTCGTAGCTCAAACCACACCCACGCTGTTATTTTCCAAGTTACAGTTCAAGCACTACTCGACTAGAGTATTGATGAACGTGCTGGAGAATACATGACGAAGATGGCGGCCGCAAATAACATGCACAATCTCACTACACTCATTAAGAGGTAAAACTAGCCCATGTGTAGTCTTGCATCCACGGTAGCATCATGTTGGATTGCTGAAACATTGGCAGACTCGAAGCTGCGACCTCGCGCCTCGAAGACATTGCGACTTCAACCGAACTACCCAAAGATGTTCCCGCCCTGAAGCAGGCCATTGCCTCCCCGGCAGTCGAGTCGCAGGCGCCTACACCCCCCCAGACGGCTGCAGCTTCCGCCAAGACTACCTCGAAACAATCTGAGGACCCTGTCCCGGAATCAATAGAAGAGTTCCAACAATTCATAAGCTCGTCCGTGGGCAAATATGTCAAGATCAGCAATGAACTGGGTGGTGTAGTTGCTAAGCAGGTCCGAGCCATTATTGAATGGGCAAAGCTAACGGCTGTTGTTGATCAGATGCTAATGTCAATACCTTTGTACAGGCTGTCGAGGTGCTTAAGGGATTCCAAGAACAGAGAAAGTTTTTGCTGATTACGACCAAAGCCACAAAACCCGACGCATCGACATACCAGGTTATTCTCAAACCAATAAATGATGCGTTAATGGCCGTAACCGAGCTGAAAGAGTCGAACCGACCCGATCCCATGTATACTAACCTGAGTGCTGTCGCTGATGGCATCATGATGCTTGCTTGGATTACACTGGATAGCCGCCCCCACAAGCATGTGGAGGAGAGTTTGAGCTCAGCCCAGTTTTTTGGAAATCGGGTGCTTAAAGAACAGAAAGACAAGTAAGCGAAGACCTTCGTATCCTTGTTATTTGCACTGGCTGAGCAGAATCCAGAGATCCAAAACAGGTCGAATGGGTACAGTCATTTTACCAAATCTTCAGCGACCTCGCCGAATATGTTAAGCAAAATTTCCCGTCGGGAGTCACTTGGAATGCCAAAGGCGAACCAGCCGGGGACGTAGCCAAGTCGTTCCTGCAGACGGCCACGGCACTAGGCACATCAGATGCTGGAGGCGCATCGGCGCCGCCTCCTCCGCCACCGCCTCCTGGACCAGCTCCTGTGCTTGATATCAAAGCTGAACCCGTCCCTGCGGCGCCTGCATCTTCTGGTGGGTTCGACGCTGTATTCTCTGAGCTGAACAAAGGCTCGGATGTTACAAAGGGACTCCGGAAGGTAGACAAATCGGAAATGACACACAAAAATCCTTCCCTGCGCGCCAGCAGTGCTGCAGACCGAAATGGCTCGTCTCGAGGCAAGAGTCCAGCCCCCGGCAAAAAGCCAAAGCCAGAAAGCATGCGCGTGAAGAAGCCTGCTAGGAAGGACTTGGAAGGAAATAAATGGACAATCGTAAGCGCTGTTCGATCCTTACGGAATATGCTTTATCTGACAATTACTAGGAAAACTACGACAAAGAGACCCAACCAATTGAAATTGAAACTAGCTTGACCCAGTCTGTATTGATCAGCAGGTGTAATAACACAACTGTAATGCTGAAGGGTAAAGCTAACCAAGTTACTGTGGAGAACTCAACCCGCCTTTCCCTCGTTGTTGACACTTTAGTTTCTACGGTGGATGTAGTAAAAGCTCAAAATTTTGCATTGCAGGTTGTTGGGACTCTCCCAACCGTTATGCTGGATCAAGTCGATGGCGGCCAGGTTTACTTGAGTAAAGAGAGTATTGGCACCAAGGTATTTACCAGCAAGTCGTCCGGAATTAATCTCAACATCCTGTCTGGCCCAGATGACGAATACAAAGAGGTGCCTCTCCCGTCTCAAATTTGTTCTTACTACGACGAAAATAAAGGTGACCTCATGAACGAGATCGTGGCCCATGCTGGTTAGACACACTTCACAGCCTATGAGTCATCAATGTCGGGGTTTATTTTAGACTATGTACTTGGGGAGAAGGCGCAAATTTTGCTGTGGTTGACAAAACTACTCACAAACGGGGAAACACTGGCAGGAGATGCAGAATCATTTGAATGTGAGCTTCATACCTAACAAGCCGCGCTAGTAGCCTCCTAGGTTTAAATTCACAAGTTTGCTACTCGTTCCCTTATGCCGATGCTCTTAACCAATTCTAGTGCAAATAGACAATGTATAGATGGGAACTACAATTCAAAACTCAGCAAATATTTCGGGGATCACCTTTGGCGGTCAGAGATGGGACCCCGGTTTTCTCCGTGATTGATTTTGACAGTGAGCCATTCCTACCTGCCTCTTCGTGTCTCAACCCAAGCAGCAAGCGTGATCATATCGCGAAAAGCCCCTCGTTGATATCGCTCATATCTTACAATTTGGCCTTCGGCGAGGCTACCGTTGGCATCAATAGGTCACGCATTTCCCCAGCGGCCTCGTTTAGATAGTAACTCATGCGGTCGCTTCCAAGGCTCTTTGATACGACATTGAAATTAATGCTAGACAGGGATCAGCAAGAGACACTCTCATAGATGAAAATCACACTCGCCTGTTCTCATTGATCATGTAGGCAATGCCGAATCCTTCGTCGATGACTTGACTCCAACCATAGCCGTTGAAGAATTCTGAGCTGAGTTGGGATGTTGACAGGTACCAAGAACTGGAGTAGCTGAAGGCGGGGTCTTTGTAGATGGCGGGAACCTCCTCATCCGGTGCCAAAAGTTTCTTTAGACCAAACAGATGTCTGTCCACGCCTTTGCCATCAGATGCGGCCGTGATATACTCAATGTGAGCGTCGATAGCCCTGCGAAACAAGTTTATTCGTGTTTGCTCATCTTGTGACGGGTCAGACATAGACTTGCACCACGCCACGGATTCATCTGAAACTGTCCGACAGGTTTCTGTTCGGCCAAGTTGGAAGCGACGGGTTGCTGCAGATTCATACGTTGGACGATTCTTGCCATACATCTTGAAGTAGGCCAATTGAATAATCATTTGGACATACGCATCAGGGGAGCATTTGAACTTCTTGATTAGACCTTTGCCGTAACCCTGGTATGCTTGTACGGCTAGTTGATGCTGATTGATGACGGTGTGGAAATCAGTGACGGCACGGTCAATTTCGGCTTGGATTGGTGCGGTAATGTCAAATTGGATAAGCTGCGGTTCAGGAAGATCGGAGCGGATAGAAGGGTCTGAGAAATCGATCTTGTTGCCGAAGATGAGATCATTGATGTAGTCATTAAGGCGGTGCGTTGGCGTGCCATCCATCATGGAGTGCTCACCCATGAACCCTGACGTTCCATTGTCGTTGACAATGAACTGCAAAGGCTTGTCATACCAGCGGTTTTCTCCATCACCATGCCAGTATTGATGGGCTCGCTCTTCCAGGGTAACGGGAGAAGCATCGTCCAGGCAAACAACGAATGAAGCCGAGTCAATGGAGCGGAGAGCTTCCTTGTTCTTGGCGCTTGTTTGCACCAGTAGGTCGCGAGCGTCGGCCCAAACGTCTCGATTCTCGGAGGTCAAGGCGCCAACAGCAGGTACTCGCTGCGCTGCTTGGTAGACTTCATGGAATTGCCTTTCTAGTTCTGCAGTATTGAGTTGTTTGCCACCAATTTCGTGGGAGATTAAGAAAAACTGATTCTTGCGAATGGCAATAATGTGCTTATTCTCGCTAGAAGAGAACTTGGCAGGATAGTCAGTAGGACGTGCAGCAATGCGGGTGGCATTGAACATCCATTTGTAACTATCCATACAAATTGGGAGTTTTTTCATATACTCTGGCTCAAGGGAGCCATTGTCAACAAGCTTCTTAAACTCCAAGACGGCCGAAGTGATGGCCGCCGCCCGCTTGGCTGGGTCTCGGCGCATGCGATCATCACGGTGAGAGTAGAAGTAGCTGACGTAGGGTACAACAGGATCGCGATATGCTAGATAAGCAGCATCGTTCCACCACTCGTAGATCCAATTCTTAGTCGCTGGATCTTCACGCTTCGCAACGAGCTTGTCCTGGAGCTTATTGCCAATACCTCCAGGCTTGATGAAGTCCTCGACGGCAGCCTTACTATTCGAATACTCAGTGGCAGACAGTAGAGGGTGGAGGGATTTCAAGTATCGTTTCGCTGTCTCCTCAAGCGTGGGGACAGGCAACCGAGGCAAAGAGGCCTGAAAGCGCAACATTGCACCTTTGGACTTATCCTCCGAATAGCCTAGCAAGTTTCGCAGCTGTCAGTGTCAAAGTATCTCCTTTTGTACGTTTGGACATGGAATCTTGAAGGAAGTAAACTTGAGACACAGAGGATATTAATTACCGGGAGGAAGAGAGCTGTTACTGCGTTTAGCTGAAGCCATGACGGGGATCTGCCGGAAAATGAAGTTAGCCTTTTGTCACCGGAACCAATTGCAGATTGCACCGGTGATGACGGACCGTTTGCAATGACAAGCGAGTTTGTCGGAAGCTGTTTCTCAGTGCGTGAGAGCGAGCGGCAGATGTCAACATGGCCGGCTACAAGCGGTCTGATGTCCACGCGACGAGGAAGGGTGGTTGTATTTAGGAAGGAAAGACGTGGGTGGGATGGGGGCGGCGTTGACTTTCAGCAGCAACCGCGGCGCTTGAAAGACCAGTCGACCTCTCTTTGGCCTGCTAGGGTGACTTAAGTATTCTTTCTGTCCGGCCGCAACGGCTGGTTCTTGGTTTGCTGGTGCCGGAGACGAGAAGCTACGAGGGACTGGTGTGAGTGGATTGGCTTTCGAGCATGTGGTTCCCCGTTCAAATGCTCGCACAGGAGTTTGCTTGGTGTCATTTGGCCCGCCCGACCCCGGCCGGCTTCCATGTTGCCCCAGGATGGCGGCGTCGCCGCCCAATAGCGGGGCTTGTAGCAGCATAGCCGAGGTAAAACACCAGTTGACCTGCTGCGAATACCGCCGGGGACCGACGTTGGAGCCTTTTGAGAGGATACTTGAGAACGGTGCCCATAAAGTAGGAATCTAGTAGTTAACTACTCGGCAGCCGGCTGAACGGCAACCACAAGTGAACGCCACTCATATAAATTCTTATCCTCCGCCTCAGTGATAGAAGACATACTACATGTAGTCCATGCTACTTCCAACGGTGGACAGAACGACGCATATCCTCCGTCAAATTTCAAGAAACCTGTACTTACTACTTAGTATGTTTGACTTGGAAACACTACCTTCTCTTGAGTGAGCAAGCGACAACTGTCTCAATATGGCTCCTGCACCAGCCTCCGTGTTCTTTTAGCGGAAAAAGAGAACGGAATTAAAGGGACAAAAACATATTATTATTTTTAGACTGGGAAACACGTCCAATTCAAAAACAAAAACAGTGGCGTCTCTTCCGACACCAAACTCCGTAACTAGTAGTACACCTCTGTTACATTAAAACGACGGCCAGATAACGCGCATGAAGTTCTGCGAGCCTGGACACAACACCTTGATTTATTCGAGAATTCCATTAAACCAGACGCCCGTACCGCATTCCATCCCCGTGCACCCGTAGTGGCGCATCATGTTCATCATTTATGCTTCGTAGCTTTTCATTTGTCCATTGCTACTCGGTGCTTGGACAGATGGCTCTCCAGTTACGGGTTGGAAACCCAACCTTTCTCCATCAGGTAGAAGAGCTTCTTGTGCCATGCGAATGCCTTGGTCGCCACCTATGCTAGTTGCTGTCTTCAAACTCTCCATGGCTCTGCCTACCCGGCGCTTGAAAGCCAACCTGTCCAAGAGCAATTGCTGTCGACCACGTTCCAAATCACGCCTTTCTGCTCGAAGAATACCTTCAATCTCATTAAAGTATTTCAATTTTAGCTCCAGCTTTTGCAATGTTACGTTTGTAGCAGCGGAGACAAGTCGTGTCATCTCTCGTTCCTCATGGGAAGCAAATCCCGCTGCGCGAGCTCCAATGGACGCCAAAGGTATGGATGCAAGTGATCGGTTCTTCGTGGTGGTCGTGGTGGTTGTGGTCACCTCATGACGCATATCCACATCCATCGACTCGCCTCCATGTTGTGCTTGGTCTTGTTCTTTGGACACACTAGATGCCTTCTCGCCACCATTGCTTGCACCATTGGACTCTTGATTGCGTTTACTGCCGTTCAATTGTTTTTGCAAACCTTTCTTCAACTCATCGGCTGACTTATTGGCAGCCGCGGCGGTGCTTGCAGGGTCCGCTAGACTTGCCAGAAATCCAATAACAGACATCACTGGATTGTCTACTTGGCTGAAGGGCAGATGACCGTGTTGTGCCCCGAGCATAGACAAGCCGGTAGGTGCACTGATAGGTAGCTCCGAATCTAAATACTTCTCTTCAATATCCAATTGTAAGAATTGGAGCACACATTCCTCCCGTGTCCTCGTACCAACGTGATCAGCAATCTCTCCCCAGTCGTCATCAAATCGTTCCAAGCCTTCGAGTAGACGAAGAATTTCGGCATCAGTCCAAGGCGCATCCCGATCCACGATAGATGTGTAAGTCGGATTCTCCGTCTTTGAATACATACTTGACGTATGATTCGCTGGTAGACGACCCTCTGTGAAGCAGTTGGGACAGAGGTCGTACTTGGCTTTAGAACTGGCGTCGGTTTGGTTGCTGTGATAATAAACCCGGGTGCAGTCGTTGCCACATTGGTGGCAGTTGACCTTGGTGATCGCAGACGCGGTTGCATCCTCTGTACCAGACACGCCGTTTGTAGTTGGTGTCTCTCCGTTGGCTTTGGTCTCAGTCTTGTTCACCGACAATCCCTTCGAATTAGCTTCATAGATATTGCGACCAATCTCAAGGTTGAGATCGCTTTTAGCCCCAGCATTCGAGGCTGACTTTTTATCAGTATCGACGTTCTTTTTCCCTTCCAGGACGATGGGATCGGCAGATGGCTGCCACGGTTGAAGACCGCGTGGTGTATCACATATAATCTTGAAATGACCTGTGAAGGGGGGACCAACATGCGATGGCCGTTGTTCGGCATCCACCTATATCCCATTAGTCATCTTGTAGATCGGTCAAAGGAGAACTAAGACAACAATTGTTTTTGTACCTGATAATTAATCAAACCCCACTGTTCCAAAAAAGCATGAACCCTCATTATGGCGCAGACGTCACCAGCCAAGTTTCTGCGACAAGCTGTGACGGTTAGGTATTCTACTGGGTTCAGGCGGTACGTATTGATCATGAAATCGCGATAATCTTTGTAAACAGCGGGGGTTTTGCTTCTGTTTCGATTGTTGAAAAATTCGGCCATCGCCTTCCGTTCGATATCATGAACGCTGTTCATGTCGAACCATGTACTGTAGCTAGGCAGGACAATCGCATGAGCTTGAGAGACGAGGTGCTCGCGGGCCGCTGACTCGACGTTCTCTTTCGATTTGGTTTCTTGGTTATCAGTGGCACCGTCGCTCTCAGCACCAATTCCCTTGGAACCAGGAGCTGGCATGTCACCCATTTCCGTATCAGCGTTGGCCGCTGCGTCTGCTTGTAGCGCCTCAGTGCCTTCGGAAGCGGTGGCACCTGGCCCAGGAGTCGCGCTATCCTGCTTTATGTTTGCCTCGCTAGTCACGCCTTCCGACATTGGGACATCTTGAAGTCGCGTAATTAGCTTGGTGAACGTGAGAAGGTCGACGTGGTATCTCACCTTGACTATCACCTGGTATCGCTTCAGCTTGTAGCGGGGGTTGTGCCAATATTGGGTTGCCATCTGGGGATGCACCATTGGCTGGTGACCCATATGTTGTAGAATCTTCCATGATATTTACACAGTGGAAGACGGCTTGCGCGATGCGAAATGCTAAGCGGGTAAGGAGCAGCGAGGTGCAAAGAACGCGTCGCGCCACTCGCAAGTGCCTACTTAGCGCGGGATAATTGTCTAACCAACGATATAATATTCAGCAAGCAACGCGGTGCAGAAGATATCAGAATACGTAATATCTCTGTGATGACACGCCGCGTTCTGAGGAAAATTTGGCGCGACGACAAACAGGAGCATCCAACAACCTCTCGGAGGACACTTACCAAAGAGAATTTCGGCTAACCGTATTTGGACAACACATCACGTGACCAGAAATCATGTGATTTTGCGCACCCACTAGAGGGGAGCCCCTGTTGGCTCGGCGGGGAAGCTCGGGTGAAGGTCACGTGCTTGTGGCTTTCTCGGTCATGGCTCAGGCGGGCGTTAAGCCGATGCTCGGGCCGCGTTCACCCGGCTGCCTTAACTTGGACTTCTGGACATGACTACGAGCTTGCATCGCAGTTGACAAGCAGTGTAGTCTTCTTTCATTACTAAAATGTACGCCCTCGCGAGATGCTCTTTGCCTCGAAGAGCTGTCGGCCTCTTGTCCCCGGTGAATGCGGTTCACGGAACATTTACTAGAAGCCGGCTGTTGTCCACATTGGCGATTCTTGAACAACGCGATGGACAACTCAATCAAGGATCTCTGAATGCATTTGCTGCAGCCAAACAATTGGGAGGAACAGTCCATGGATTCGTTGCTGGTAGTAATGTGTCTGCTGCTGCCCAGGAGGCTGCCAAAGTTGAGGGAGTGGAGCAAATTATCAAGGTTGACAGCAGTGCGTACGAGAAGGCAAGTAAAGGCTCCAGTCTTCATTCAGTGACATAAATATCCATATTGACGGTTGAACAGGGCCTTCCCGAGACTTACGCTCCCTTGCTTGTGGAAAATATTAAAAAGGGAAAATACACCCACGTCGTTGCTGGACATACTGCCTTTGGGAAGAACCTCTTGCCGAGGGTGGCAGCTCTATTAGATTGCCAGCAAATCTCCGATATCACTGCCATAGAAAACGACAAGACCTTTGTGCGGCCGATATACGCTGGAAATGCTATCGCCACTGTTGAGTCTTCAGATTCTGTGAAGGTCATTACCATTCGAAGTACTGCCTTCGCGGCTGTGACTCCCGGCTCGGGGTCGGCTGCTGTTGTAGATGGCGTTGATCCCAAAGCTGATCCTTCGGCAGAATGGGTGTCGGAAGATTTGGCGAAGTCAGACAGACCAGATTTGGGCACGGCTTCAAAGGTGGTCTCCGGTGGTCGTGGCCTTAAGTCGAAGGACGATTTTGACAAAGTCATGTTACCTCTCGCTGATGCACTTGGTGCTGCGGTTGGTGCATCTCGTGCGGCCGTTGACAGTGGGTATGCGGACAACAGTCTTCAGGTCGGCCAGACGGGTAAGGTTGTAGCTCCGGAGCTGTACATGGCTGTTGGAATCTCTGGCGCAATTCAGCACTTGGCTGGTATGAAGGACAGCAAGGTAATTGCTGCAATTAACAAAGACGCCGACGCCCCCATATTTCAGGTTGCAGATGTTGGCCTGGTTGGTGATCTGTTTGAGAAAGTGCCGGAACTGACAGAGAAGTTGAAGAGTAGCTGAAAAAGTAAAGTGAGGTATAGTCACGAAACACTATTGTTACAAGTTTATATACCAGTGCGCTTGTCACTGAATGACAGCGAGCATATCTCGGGTGTTTGTAAACTTTTTTCGTTCCTTTCCAAGCTCCTTGCCGCCCTGTTTTTCGGCTCTGTCTATTTGCAACCATTGGTCCCACGACACTGAGCGTTCTGTATGTGAATCCTTGTCTTGCCGTACGCCATTCCAGCCCTGTGCAGCTGTATCCCCTTTTGGTCTTAAAAACTCTGCACCGGAAAGCCAATCCTGTATTATCGCCTCTCCGGTGATAAAGGCATCCTGCATGGTTGAAGCAATAACCCCCGTGGGACCCCTTTTGACCCACCCTGCACAATACACACCAGGAACTTGTCGGCAAGTGGAAGTCTGCTGGTCAATAGCCAACACCTGTGTTGCCCGACCGAGACCGTCGTTATTGACTACACCTCGAGACTCATCGAACTGAATTCCCATGGCAGTAAACTCAGGGAGGGCAACAGACTTGTATCCCACCGACCGAAAGACAACGTCAGAAGGCAGTTGCAATGTTTGGCCTGTTGCCATTGTCTTAGACAAAGGGTTAAAGGCGTCAGTTAATTTCATGACGTTGAACTCGGTGCCTGCTACATCATTTGGAGATTGGATGCCTCCCAAAAAACGATTAGGAGCCAGGCAGTTGTCAAGAGACCATGACTTAGGTGCACTCTCCACAAGAGCTTCTGATCCTTTCAAGATGACCTCCATCAAACGCTTGGATGCTCGTGGCAGCGATTTCAGATCAGCCGGGATCAAAGATCGATCGACAGGGTGAAATGCCACGCTAGGCAGTTTCATGAGCTCACGAACTTCTTTAATGGTAAAGGCGGCCTAGCGGGAGCCGTAGTCTATTAGCAATCTTGTCGTGAATAGGAAAAATATGATTCAAACCAACCTGCACTGGGCCCCTCCTACCAACAACATGCACTCTTTTTATCCTACTTTGAGACAGGATTGCAAGGGCATGTTCGGTGATATCGGTGTTTCTAAGGACATCTATATCTTCCAATAGAATCCTAGCCACATCGAGAGCAACATTGCCCTGGCCAATGATGACAGCCTCTTGCGCATTTACAAGTGCAGGATCGAGACTCGAACATTCAGGCAAGCCATTGTACCAGCCCACAAACTGACGTGCTGAATGAATGCCATTCAGAGTCGACTCCCCTGGAATTCCAAGTCTTTTATCTTGTGACGCTCCATATGCCAATAGTACGGCGTCATAGTGCTGCATCAACGATTTTAATTTCACAACTCCTTGCTCTTTAGCGCGGCTGCAAAGACCCACAGAGACATTCCCTATGAACCTGAACCTGGGGGATGATGCAACATCCTCAAACTTTTCTTGACAGTTCTACGTACGAGTTACTTATGTGGCTAGAAGAAAGACAAATCTGCCCAGAGACGCAGCCATACCTTTACCTCAGGATGATCAGGAGCAACACCATGGCGAACCAGACCAAATGGAACCGGCAGCGCCTCGTACATATCAACATGGGCATTTGGGAGTTTTGTCATGACCCTGTAAGCCGTATAGAAGCCAGCGGGACCAGATCCTACGACAGCCATGCGAAAAGGTGCTTCAGACGATCGGCTCGATCTTGCGGCTGCTGTGGAAAAAGTCCTCGGTGGCAACGAGCCTAGCAACGGCCGGCATGTCGAGCGACAAAACATTGTCCTCGTAGAAGATCGATCAAATTGACAGAGTCAGAGGACAGAATAAAGAATAGAACAGAAAAGACGGAATTAGGGGGGAAAAAGGGGGAGAGGGTAGCAAAAGAGCGAACGATCATCGAAAGCCAACCAAGTAAGTGCTATTTTGAAGAGGTTCTGAGTCTCTACACCAAATGATGGCCGGTGGCCCAAGCGGTCTGGTAGGTAGGTTGCTGGTGGGTCGGAGGTCGTCGGCGATTGAGACGAGCCCGATGTTGCTGTGCCAACCAAGCTGGCCTTGCAGGAGTTCCAATCACAACCAGACATACCGTTTTGGAAGGATAATGCTACAGGTCGCCACAACGAAAGACATCTCCCATTGTCCTTGTGCTCCCGCATTCCAACTGTAGAGATTTGTTTTGGGTTCGTTACTACTTTCGTTGGTAAATCGGGCTCGACACTATGGGTGGCTCACAGCCATTCATGTATAACGCTGACTGGCGAAATGACGCGCGGTTTCCCGCAACCACTTTCGATCCCAAGGCTGTGACGCGGGCCAGCTGGGAGCCAAGGCCTAGGAAACTGCCTCCAACAGGCCCTCTCATCTCATTCGACCGACACCCTGAGTATGTACTGATCAATCTCATGCAAAATGATGAACAGACGGGATAAGTCTCTTGCCACCCTGCTAATACATGCCAGTGCCCACATGGTCATTTCACACCGAAATAATCCATACTTGCCTCTTGGGCAGCGAATGAAGAAATGGATCAAGGGATTACGGAATGTTCAGCTTTCGATTCGTGTTTTGGAAATTAATGCAGCCATTGGTTCCCTCGTCCTACTCATTCTCATTATAAACATTGACGAGGCCACAGGGTGGATTATGAGAATTTCGGTACGTCGTATGCATCAGGACATTGAAGATAGAACGGAATTTGACAGGTCTTTTAGCCCGGTGTCGCCATCGCTCACTGTTCGTACGCAATATATCATCTATCTCGGAACGCCTCTGGTCGTACCCCAGGCTCTTCAGCTGCCTATCACGTCTTTGCTGCTACCTCTGATCTGGTCTTCATATCTTTGTATGCGTTCGGGGCGTTTTCTACCCACAAAAACGCGCAAACTTGGGCCACTAGGCTCAGTAGCCAAGAGATCATGAAGTACTTTGTGCCCGCAGTATACTATATGACGATTGGGGCAGGAGGCTTGCATTTCATATCACTCTCCATCTCTTTGTGGCTGGGAGTGATGTTCCGCAGAATTAGCCTAATGCCACCGGATATGAACCCGCTCGAGGATCATCTGACCGCGAGGCCATTCCATAAAAGGAGCAAGTCTTCCATTACGACCGGAAGCAGCTTAGACGGAGGAAACAGGCTTTCTATCACAGTAAGCTCGGACGGGGCGGCTTCAGAGCCGCGTAGGAATCAACGGCCAGCTGCTGTGCCATTTCTTCATACAAGGACGGGATCCAGCCACTCTATCTCGAATAGGGGCTCACAGGCCGATCTTCCAAACAGGATGTATCAACTTGCTCCCGGCAACCCTCCGCGAAATTCGCTTTATTCATCTTCTGAAAAACAATGTCCAGCGCCACGACCATCTCAGCTTGGCCGCTATTCCTTCATTCCTGCTTCAGATGCCCAGTCATTAAGAATGGGTTCGGCAAGTAGTAATCAAAACAATGGCCGACTTGGAAAGTGTACTGAGAGTTGGATGCCGACTGATTTTTCGATTTCGAGAACCGACCAACGCAATTGCAGTGTCACTGCCGTGCCAACTTCTAGTCGCGCAGTTCGGGATGGCAAATCATATGCTGCATTGGTTCAGGCATTCCATGAAGCCGATTCAGCAGAATCAGATCATGACGATGAAAACGACGCAACACATAAAAGTCCAGAATCGTTGGGCTGTCCTGAAACACACCCAAACCCTCTTGCGTCACATCCAATGTCTCTACATAAGAGCAATAATTTCATGGCCATAAGATCAAATCAAGACCGACAGAACTATCCACGTGAAGACCTAATATCGCTGTCAGAATTAAGAAGCAATTTGAGGAAGGTAAGCAATAGCAAAGACATTGCGGACCGAGAACCCGGAGTGGGAAGGCCATGGAAACGCCAACGAGACAGCTCCATTCAGCTAGATGACGGATTTTACTCCAAGCCGTATGGCCAGTTAAGAAGTTCAACTCCCCCAGTCACTATCGGAAGTGACCGAAAGTTGTCTTCTGGGGTTGATTACGGGTTAAGGTACAGCGGTGGGATGTCAGGAAGGCGTAATGTGAGCGGCAAAGTTGCCGAAGAAGGTCGAGGGTTGAGGTAAGCTGGAGGCACAGGACTGGAAAGCTCCACAGAGGTCAAAAGGAGTAATAAGAGCTCATTGCAGCACGATCCCTCATCCTGGGAATTATATGGCGTACGTACACAAGAACTTTACACTGCAAGGCTGGGTTAATGCTTGGGGGATGGGATGTGGCGTAGGCTGGAAATTACGCATTCAATTCTTTGGAACACAATTCGTTCTTTTATTACTGAGGAGAACACTGAATGGAGACCGCTGCTACCAGTCAATAATCCATACTGTATGCGAGCCATGATTCTGCTGTAGAATTACCATGCAAATCGGCCACCCACTTTGCCTTGTCCCAGGCCAGCAGAGAGCAAAGATGACGCATTGTTGGCCGCCCATGCGGGCAATTCCACGGCTTATCTAGTTCACCCATATGCCTTAACAGCAGGTACATTTGGTTTGCAGTTAAGGGTTTACCGATCATGATACTGCTCCGACATGCCCTCATTGCGAACATTTTACGCACTCTGGATGGCCTGGGGATGTGCCGTGAACCAGATGACTCCTCAGCAAGCAACGCGATCAGTTCCTCCAAATCGTTAAGTGTAAAGGTCACTTCACGACTCAAGGGTAATGCCAAGAGCTGGCAACGCGCCCCAACTGGCGAGCCTCCTGTGGAATCCACCTGGATTTTGAAACCATTGGCTTCTAAGGCTGGTAGGTTCTCAAGAACAATTTCTTCCTCCAGGGCCGTTAGCTGGAGTGATTTGGGGTAGACAAGTCGCTGTGACTGAATCACAGTATTCGCTTGTAGTCGTTCAAAATTAAATTTTTCGTCTGAAGCATGTTGATCTATTATAAAGAGCTCATCCACGTCATCGGCCTCACGACATGTATGCCGGTGTGATTTGGGACGCACTGCGATGATGAACCCTAAATTAAATTGACCGACCACTCTCATCTTCGAAAAGTCATCTTTTGCTATAATAAGGGGGAGCTTTGATTCGGCGTCAGATGCAGTGATGTCTGCTACCCCCTCCTCAACTGGACCTGCAATGTTTTGGACCGAGTATGCCAACCATGAGCTGGAAAGGGACGCTAGTGTGGCTTCAGTTGCTCGTATTATCTGTGAATATTGAGCTGTTCCAAACTTCTTGCGTAGACCATCTCCCAGAGCTCTGTTTCTACGACTCGCCGAACTATTCGCATGAGGTCTTCCGTTAGTATCTCCTTGCGCAACATTATCTAGATCGTTCGAGTCAGAAACGGATCGGCGAATGTGCTTGTCTTCCTCAATTTGCGGTTCGTTAGGACGCGGCGTCACCAATCTAGTCCCGCCTAAGTTCTCCGTGTTATGTTTTGCCATTCCCTTGGGATGAAGCGTCAATGCTTCCGACAGCTGGGTCTTCGTATAAGAGGAAGAAAACCGGTCGTCGAGGATAGTATCTTCAGGATTTTCGGGGTCAGATGAACAACTCGAACAGCTACACTGAGCGGTTCTACCTTTAAATTCGCCGAAACCGCAAACTTTTCCAGTGTGTCCTGAATTGGGGAGGTGAGAATAATGCGAGTCTCCTAATGTTTGCGGTACAGCTCCCTTGTGTGGCTGCTTCTTCTGGCTAAGAAGTACAGTATCGCCATGTCCAATTGTTTGAACGAAAGACGTTGATGGTACACTAGAGATGGCATTCCAAGATAGCGCTGTTGGACTTCTCGAATCTGATAAGGCTTCACCAGGCTTGTGGGAATTGGTTCCGTGGTCCACAACTGTTGCATTCCTTGGTGCCGTATCAGCAATAGGATCCACGCCCCTCAACGATTCGCTTTGTGAGGTCTGTTCTGTATCTGAGTCGGTTAATGCTGTCGTCCGACTTGAGGCAAATAAACTCAAGCTAGGCCGGCGCCGTTTGACATGTGTATTTTGGCTAGTACAGTTTGAATTCGGTGGTCGGTTTGCATCACACCCAAACCACTTGGTGAGCGATTCTGGTGCGATTCTGGCCCCTTCTCTTCCTCCTGAGGCGATCTTGTCTTCCTGCCTTGTCATTTTCGATGAATTCCCCTTTACAAAGCCAGTGTTAAATGGAGACTCACCATCTGATTCACTATGTGAAGCAGCGGAGAGCTCGGATTCGGAAGCATGAGGAGAGTTTTCTCTAATCAGAGATATTGACCGCCTATTAGCATCGACGGAAGCTGGACAGCCTGGGGTCTCTGTAGTGAGGACCTGAGTTGTAGGCAATTGATAGTCATGGCTGTCGAACAATCTGACCAAAGATGAACGAAGACGATCGAGCAACAAGCTTTGGTCATGAAGAAGAATGCTCCGTTTGTCAGGACTGACGTTCACATCATACATATTTGTGTCGAGTTGAACATTGGCGAATATGAATGGCGATTGAGAGATGTTGTAAGCCTTATAAACTTCGTTGAATGTCTTAGCAAATTGTGGCAGCCCACATGGTCTTCCATTAACGAAAAACATCTGCCGATCTGGGGCTTGCCTGCCATCTCCCTGAACCGGACGCGAAACATGGCCGAGGACGCGCACCTGCTTAGACTCTCGATCAGTCCGAAGGACCCCTTGTAAGCCCGGGCCGGCATTTGTTGGATGCATTTCTAGCAGAAGATCGAGGGAAACCAGGGTAGACATTGCTTTGGAGCCGAATATATTAATAATATTCTCGCGAGTGGTGGGGTTACTCTTGGTGGAAAATAGGACGATGCGCTTCCCCTTTGTTGGCTGCTGTGATACAGTAAATTTGAGATTGGTCTGGATGCAAGCATATTGGTTAAGCAAGGCAATGACCTTATGCCATTCTCTTTTTATATTGCGCTCTAGCTCCCGGCGACGCACTGGCAAATTATGGAACAACTTTTCAACCGATACTGTAGTTCCTCTCTGGGATGCCACCATTGTTGTGCTTGCGAGTTTGCCCGATATTTCGAAGCCAAGTTTGCAGCCCCTGGGAACCTCAGATTCAAGGCAAGTGATGATGGTTACAGAAGATAGAGCACATAAAGATGCTAGAGCTTCCCCTCGGAATCCAAAAGTCCTCAAGGAGGCGATATCGGAGTATGACGACAGTTTCGAAGTATGGTGCTTCAAGGCAATGGAAGGATAGTTGGCAGGGCATATGCCCGAGCCATTGTCTTGAACTTCAACCAAGTCCAGACCTTGATTTTTGAAGCGCACATCTGAAGTTTTGAAATCTCTAGGTCAGCATAGCGCCGCTGTATATTTACCTATTGTATTGGGGTTACATGACGAAGGATGGATTCGTTTAGAAGTGCGGGTGGCCGCCATATAGCAACATGCATACCTATAATGTTGGCACCGGCGTCAATGCTGTTCTCTACTAGCTCCTTTACGACAGAACATAGGTCTACAATGACCTGACCAGACTGTATCAAATGGATCTAAAGAGGGGGCGATGAGGAAAAGTCAGTCTCTCGCCGTTGGACCTCCCAAAAGGAAGAAGAAGAGAAGAGAGGAAAAAAGGGAGGAAAAGAAAAGAAAAAGAGGGAGGAAAATAGATCCCTCGGCATGGGTTCCGAGCTGCTTACACTTCGTCCTTCGATAGGTTTGATTGTAGCTGCCATTGCTCACAAGCTTTCTGAGCCTGACAGGATCTTGGTTGAATGTGAAAATGAAAGCGCCATAGAGCTTCGAGCTTCTGCACTTCGTAGAACTAAATTAAACACAGGAAAATAATGAAAATGAAAATGAGAAGGCCTGGTGTTGTTCGTGATGCCGAAAATGCATGAAGCATTGACGAAGGCGGTTGTGTTGCACTGGTGGCACCCAGGCACGGAGGCGACGTCAGGATTGATGGTCGTTGTTGACGTGTCTGGCTTGAGCACGCGTTGGCTCTCAATAGGCGGGATATGCATTTGCTGACACCTCGGCGCTCCACAAAATCCAAACCAAGCGGTGCGTAGCATGTTTGGCAGGCTCCTTGAGAGAATCAATGGCGTCTACGGAGTATGCTCCATCACAACTTGCCTACTTAGTACTTAAGTACCTACCTACCTAGGAGGCGCAAGGGTGTCTTGGCGACTGCTACTAACCTCATAAGCCATAACAAACAGCTCGTTAAATATTTTATTTAATATTTTACACCAGACTTTCACTTGTGATACTTTGAGACCTGTCTTATGAAAGCTGTACTGTCACCAGAACCAGAGGCCGCGCACGTGGGTACCTAACCTAGTAGTGGTCTTGTAAGGAGAACACACCCACCAGACCTTAGTGCCCAGGTCCATGTCTGGTCGAGTCCGAGACTGGTCTGTTCTGGCTCAGGATCAACTAGGTCTGATCCACCAAACTCTGCGCAGCCCGCCCTGTAATATTACTCCGTACGTGACTGCACTTTCAGCTTGCTCTTCGCCCTCCATCCGCCGTGTGCAGCTCTCCCGTCACTAATTCACCCAGAGTCCATCCAACCCACACACGTTACGAGGCTTGGCTCAAGGACGGCATGCCTCGCCATCCCTTTCACTACCGCGACGACGACCACAGTAACAATACTCCTCTGTATACTCGTCGTTCGCTTTTGTAATATTACAGCTCGCACTACTCTCGTTATCAGTCTCCGGCACCATTAGCTCTGTCTGCTCTGCCGCTAAGTTGGGCATTTTGCCCAAGCTGCCGTTCATTTCGTGCAACCCTCGCGCACCCTTTCCCGATTGCCGCTCGTTCTTCTCTCAGCGCCCGCGCCTCATCAGAGATCACCTCCATGACCAACCGCTCTCCCGATCCGACCGACGATGGTGACGGACAGTCTTGCAATCCCGATGTAGCCGATACCGAAGCCATGGCCTGCCGCCAGCAATCAAGATCACGTTCAGCCAGCAGGACAGGCAATGACCCAAGTGAGTTATATTGGAAGCGCAGCAGTACCCGTAACGGACATGCGAAGATGCCCTCACCAGTCACGCCGCCAAGCCTGTCACGCCCGTTTACGCCGGCTGGTACGACCATGGCTCTACGGAAGTCATCGCCTGGGCTGTCGGGACCTAAAGGAAGTCGACGCAACGGCACTGTCTCCATTCTTGTTCTTTTTACGGCTGGTATTGGCATCATACTCCTGGCCGCTATATTGAAGTCTCTCATTAGCTATCAAATTGAGCCCAAGGGATGCCGCATGTCCTATATGCGACCTTCTTATATTCATTTTACCGATTTCGATACGGAACATACTCGTTTTGCGACTAAATACTCCTTGTTTCTTTACCGCGAACAAGGCGTAGACGATGAAGCCAAGGTAAGGGATACAAAGAAATTTGCAGTTGATGGAGTCAAATGCCCATGGTACCGATAGGGCTTGATGTGTTAACCGTTCATAATGTAGCTACGCGGCATACCGGTACTCTTTATACCCGGCAATGCCGGTAGTTACAAACAGGTTCGGCCAATTGCAGCAGAAGCAGCTACGTACTTCTATGATACCCTACAACACGACGGAGGCTCGGTGGATTCGGGAGTGCGAAATTTGGACTTCTTCACCGTCGATTTCAATGAAGATATTACCGCCTTCCATGGCCAGACCTTACTTGACCAGGCGGAGTATCTCAATGAAGCAATCCGATACATTCTGTCTCTCTATTCAGATCCTCAGCGAGCCACGCGTGACTCCCACCTACCCGATCCAACTTCAGTCGTGATTCTTGGTCACTCGATGGGTGGTGTGGTTGCTCGTGCAATGCTCGTGCAGTCAAACTACCAAGCTCATTCCATCAACACAATAATCACCATGTCTGCTCCTCATTCCCGGCCACCAGTTACCTTCGATGGTCAAATTGTGCAAATTTACGATGAGATCAATGCCTACTGGAGAAACGCATACGCACAGAAATGGGCCAATAATAATCCGTTGTGGCATGTCACCCTTATTTCTATTGCAGGCGGAACTTTGGACACTGTTGTACCTTCGGACTATGCAAGCGTGGAGCCTCTGGTTCCGGAAACTCACGGGTTCACTGTCTTTACCACTGGAATCCCGACTGTCTGGACGAGTATGGATCATCAAGCCATTCTTTGGTGCGACCAATTCCGCAAAGTTGTAGCCAAAGCGTTATATGATGTTGTCGATTCAAATCGCGCCTCACAGACCAAACCCCGAGCCCAGAGAATGCGACTTTTCAGACGACGATTCTTATCCGGCCTAGAAGCGGCTACAGAAAAAACGATAGCCTGGAAGGATGAAATCGTCCAGCTTACCCTAAACGATGAGTCAAGTCGCATTGTCCCGGTGGGCGATCGTTTGATTCTGGACCGCCTAGGAAACCAACGTGACCCAGTAGTTCATCTCCTGCCTATTCCTCCCCAGGAGACGTCCGTTTCTAAACGCTTTTCGCTATTAACAGACTCTTCACTAGTGGATGCAAAGGAGAACGGGCCGCTTGAAGTGCTTGTCTGTACTGTTTCTGCCGGGGAGGTTGACTCAGCTACTATACACAACTCATATCCAGCGACTATACCGGGAGGTAGCCAGGCAAGACTGGCTTGCAAGAGCACATCCTCCGATGTCATTCTCCTACCAGCTTCCACAGCATCGACTCAGCATCCATTCTATCTCGAAGGGGAAAACCCAATCCGCCCGTTTTCGTACCTTCAGTACGATTTAGAGGACTTGTCGGAATATAATTTTATCGCTGTCGTGGATAGAGCCACCTCACAAACAGCAGGTTTTGTCATCAGTGAATTCAGCGACCGGGACGGTATCCAGAGAGGATTTCCAACCAGCTTTTCGCACATCGCATTGTTTGGCCTGTCATTCTCCTTATCACCGGATCGACCAGTGGCAGCTGAAGTCCAATTTCCGGCCTTGACCTCAAGTCTCCTCGCATTCCACTTGGACCTGTCCCAGCAGCAATGCCAGAGTACGCGCCACCTCTTCGCGCCAATGGTCAGGCAGTATTTGGACAAGCCTTATGAATCAAAGTACTTCGTGAATGCAAAACGTGCACATATTAGTTTGCATGGAATTGCGCCCTTTGTACCTCCACCGCTGGAACCCAAAAGTACTAACAGCGGTCTGGGGTTTCAAATCTGGGCAGACCCGTCATGCAGTATACTAGAGGCCAAGCTGCGGATTGATCTGCCAGGAAGTCTGGGGAAACTGTATATGCGTTACAGGACAGTTTTTGCAGCATTTCCGCTGCTCATTGTGACCCTGGTTCTGAGGAAGCAATTTCGTGTCTATGATCAAACAGGTATCTTCATTCCATTTTCGGAAGCATTGGATCTCTCTCTCCGACGATCAGTCCCTCTGCTTCTCGTCTCTTTGACTCTTCTTGCAGTCTCACCGGAAGGCACTTCGAGGGCCATTCCCAACCTGATATGGAGCAAGCGACACTTGAATGCATTTCATAGGAACGAGCTTCTCATAGGCACCGAAAATCCTTCTTTTTGCCTGCTTGTCCCCCTCATCGGACTTGTCTGCATCGGGGTATGTGCTGTATTACACTACGTCGTGCTCGCTCTCACACGATCACTTGGCATCTTATACGCCTTGTTCAGCAATGCTCCTTCGACAGAAACAGCCAGCCACAAAAGAATTGCCTCGCAGGCCCTGGTGCCCTCAACACCGAGACGGCGAATGGTTTCTACGGTTGTTCTCCTATTCCTTGTCTCAACTTTCATCCCTTACCAGTTTGCATATCTTGTTGCGTGCCTTGTTCAGTTGTTCACAACTGTTCGCGCCCATCAGATTTCAAACATAGCTGATTCAACGTCGAATGCGAATTACTACCGCTATGTACACTCCATACTGCTCCTGATGATGTGGGTCTTGCCAATCAACCTACCAATTCTCGCCGTTTGGATACGAAATCTTGCGGTGCATTGGCTCACGCCCTTCTCCTCACACCACAATGTCCTGTCCATCATGCCTTTCATTTTGCTGGTAGAAAACTTGACCACTGGAAGAATGGTACCGCAGGTTACAAGCCGGTTGCGGCATGTAACGAGTGTACTTCTGTTCGGCACCGCATTTTGCGCTGCAGTGTATGGAGTTTCTCACGCGTACATGCTACACTACTTGGTTAATATCATTGCTGCATGGTTGGTTATTTTGCACTCTACAGCAGATTCTTGGTCTATTGCCGGATTTGGCGCAATGTTTGAAGGGAGCACGGACGAAAGCCAAAATCGAAGGAAGACCCCGTAAGCGTCAAGTTACGAATGCATCAGTTAGAGAGATTCGTTGCACTATCACAGTTTCTCGGCACTTTTGTTCGGCGAAATCGAGTGTAGAGTTGAACCTGAACTTGGATATCTAGTCCTTCATGCATCTTACCCAATTCTTCATTGACAGCTAGGGCTTCGACGAGTTCTGCAACACCACGACACATTGAAGCAACCATTTGGCCTTAATTACTAATTTAGTTACCCGATGTTCCGACCTCTTACTGCTCTTCCTGCTTTCCTTCTGCAAACTATCAGCATATTCTCGGAAGAGTAACTACGGGCGGGCACTGGAGAAACTTTCCCTTTGCTGCTACGACTACACACAAAGGTCTCTGTTTTTATCTACATTACGCATTGCTAGGCGTTTTCCCCGGGTACATTGGAGCAATGAATTCATATTTCTGTCGCCTGTAAGGTTATCGGGTTGGATACCAGGTGATAACTTTTGTCGGTAATTGTCTCTAGGTAGCTGGCAGTAGAGACATAAATAATGAATTGTATAAATCCTTGAAGCATGTATCATCAAATTGTACCAAATTTTCAGTTCCCACATGCAGACATCCTCTCTAAAGAGAAATCAAAGTACTAACTTCAATCCTCTGTGTTGGTTTTTCTTTTTATACTAGCTAATTCGATGCGTTCATGTTGCACCGTCCGAAGAGTGAAGACAATCCCAAGGAGACAAGCAACCAGAGTCATCCAATATGCCGCACGATAGCATTCCAGGCCATCGTGACAAGAACGCTCTCCGCTGGGGTCGAAAACACTATGAGAATCCAACACTAAGCCGTAGAAAAGATTGAATATGTTTGAAGAAATGACCGGCGCCAGAGTCATGAAGCCCCAATTCTGGCTTAGACCACGAATCCCAAAAGCTTCGGTGACGAGAGACGGAAATACTCCAAAGAGGAATCCGTATCCAAGTCCAGACAGTCCTGACACGAAGCCTAGCAGGCGGGGATTTTCGATGTTCAATGCGCAAACTTGAGCCACGAGAAACACGATGGATGCCACAAAGAGACACCAGAGGCGGCTGGCATGAAGGGATTTAACCAAAAAATCTGACCCAACACCTGAAGCGAAATGAATCAGCAAATACTTCTTTACACAGAATTTTGTTCTCGACGAACTCGGGTGGAATAAGTGACCAGGGACGTGGCAGGAGGTTAGGGATGTGTAAGTGCTAGGTTAGGCAGTCGCTGAAAAAGGAGCAAAATAAGAGAGTACTTGAAGATTCCAGATTGATCACCAGCAGCATGGTTGGTTGGACAATGAGAATGACCGGCGCAATCATTTACGGGGACACTCACCACTAAGAAGCCGGCCCACAAAACTGCAGACGGACAATATAGACACATGCATTTGTTGGCGATGGACAAGGAAGTCTTCTGTCACTGATCCGTCGTACCGCTTCCATAACGCATTTACATCATTCCCGATATTGCTAGGAATAATCAGCCCAGAACAAGCATGTTGAAGGCCAAACCAAAACCCAAAGAAGGAGTGAGAAGACAGTGCAAGAAGGCAGAACAGTGAAACTTACTTAATGGTCATAAGGCCAACGCCTGACAGAATAGCCATGATGGTGAACAGGAGCCAAAAAGACTGATTGCGAAGGAGATTGAAGCCGCGTATATCTATTCGATGAGATCGATCCGTATCAACACTACTCGTCACTACATTTTCTACTAGCTCTGGGGTTGCCGACGACATCAAAGACGAGGTTTCGTCGACAGCATCTTCTTCAATATCATTATTGACAGGTTTGCTGCTCGAGCTAGGATTATTGGAAGGGGGAATTGGGCCAGCGAGCATGGGCGATGAGGCCAGGTTCGTGTTTGTGGAGTCTGTATCAGACGTACCAGGTTCTTCAGAATGGCGAATACCACGAGGAGGCCGAAGATGAGCGGACGAAGAGGACGAACGACGTCCCTCTTCATGGCAGATAACACGGTGGTTCGAGTGCGGATACACCTTCAAAAAGAAGAAGCCTATGAAAGTCAAGCCAACTGTTCCGAAAGAAAGAAGCTTAAGAAAGGCGCTGGGATCGCCAGGGAACAGAACGGATCCGAGAAATGAGAAGAAGAAGGCACTGAGGCCAAACGCCGCCAGCGGAAATGCTGTTGCCGTACCTCGGTGACCTGGCCAGTTGAGTGCCGACGTCTTGACAGCAGCGGCAAATGCCATACAACTACCAAGGCCAGTTAGGAAGGAGAAGAAGCAAAGAGCTGTGACGGATCCAGATGCTCTGTCGTAGGCCATGTGCAAGGGAAAGTATCCCGCAACAAGGAGAAAGGCACCAACGAGAACAAAAGGTCGAGGGCCACGTCTGTCGACAAGCATGCCTACGGGCACACCCAGCGAGTACATGCCTAGGTTCCCGAACTGGCCGATGAGATTGCTCTGAGTAGCTGATAACTTGAGCTTCTCGGCAAACTGCGGGGCCCATGCCGAATAGACGTACTATCAAGATGAGAGATAAGACGTGTCAGATCACGGTAGAATGAGAGAACAGAACATCAACCATTTTTCGCGGCGCGCTCGGTCGGCGTGACTACAACAGTAGCGAACATGCAGAAATGTCACTTGCGTTGGGAGAATATTCCAAAGATAAGGCAGATGCAGCACTTACGTTTGTTCCACAAGCCAGGGAGATGATTGTAGCAGCCACACTCGCAACCAAGCGAGCTCGCCGCATTTGTTGATTTTGTTGACCCATGGCTGGTAAGCAGCGGCGTGAGGGATCGCGAGCCGCGGTTCAGCCAGCTGAAATGAGAGGATCCAGACAGTGGTGTCGATATTTTCGAGGCAAGAACCTCTTAAATGCTAATAGGTAGATAACTAATTGGGCTATTATATGATTCCGTTCAGTTTGGATTATCCCCTAGACTGCAAGTCTGCGATAAGGCTCCAACGAAGTCACGGAACCCACAGCAGCTAGGTGACTTCGGGCGACTTTGGTAATAGCCGGGCAGCCCGTCAATCGCTTTGGGACTGCGATGTATATAATGTAGCTCTTTGTAACTTTAAAGGCTTACTTGGACTTTTATTATAGTATAATTTAAGTGTGAAATAAAGTACCTTTTATTTCTAGTTTTTAATTGGCTTAAAACCCCTGCCAATACATGGCTGGAGCCTTATCGCAGTCTAAGGGATAAGGAGTGTTAAAACGGGACCTTACGTAATCCTGCCATCCGTCTGCACGTCATGTTCTGAGAGCTGTCGCGGCCGCCAGCGAAGACCTGGACTTCCAAGCCATAGCGACGACGACAAAATGGGCGCAATACTCTCCCTCCCTCTGCTCGCCGTCCCGAGCATGAGCACTGTACGATACCCGGCTTTATCCTCCACTATTGATATCAGCCGAAAAGCTTACGCACTTTTCTCTGTTAGATGCTTTCTTTCGCTGCAAGTTGCTGTGGTGCCGCCACCTGCTCCATGGTTTGCAGTGCCTGCGGGAAGTGCGGCAACAGGTACGATAAACTCGGTTTTTAATTTTCACCACTCTTTTTGCTTGCTTTGGCTCAGGGTTCTTGTCTCTGGGGAGACATAAGCTGATGAGAGACGCGCCTTAGTGTTGCTACTCGTATCGCCTACGCCGTCCTCCTTCTGGTCAATTCAATTCTAGCTTGGATAATGCTAACACCTTGGGCCATCGAAAAATTACAACACCTGGCACTCGACTACGTTAAAATTAATTGTCCAAATGGAGAATGCTACGGCTGGCTTGCTGTCCACCGAATCAATTTTGCTCTCGGTCTCTTTCACATTGTCCTCGCCGGCATGCTTTTCGGAGTAACATCTTCTAAACACCCTCGCGCAGCCATTCAGAACGGTTATTGGGGACCCAAGGTCATTGTGTGGCTGGCTCTCGTTGTTATCGCCTTCCTTATACCAAATGGCTTCTTTATGTTCTGGGGAAACTATGTTTCTCTGGTTTGTGCCATGTTATTTTTGATTCTTGGTCTAGTTCTCCTTGTCGACTTAGCACACACCTGGGCCGAATACTGTTTGGGACAGATCGAGGATACCGATTCCAGATTTTGGAGATTTGTACTTATTGGGTCCACCCTTGGTATGTATCTTGGGTCTGTCGCGATGACGGTGGTTCAGTACATTTTCTTTGCTCAGGGAGACTGCCATATGAACCAAGCCGTCATCACAATAAACCTACTCTTCTGGTTGGCCGTCTCTTTCATTTCCATCAATCCAAAGGTGCAGGAGTTCAATCCGAAAGCTGGCCTGGCGCAGGCTGCCATGGTTTCAGTGTACTGCACCTACCTGACGATGTCCGCCGTATCAATGGAACCCGACGACAAGCACTGCAACCCACTTATCCGAGCACAGGGTACCAGGACAACTTCTGTTGTGATCGGCGCCATCGTGACAATGCTAACAGTGGCCTATACAACGACTCGTGCAGCTACACAGAGTTTGGGTCTCGGAGGCAATGTGGGTGGAATACATTTGCCTGAGGACGATGAACACGGCCTGGTCACCCAGCAACCAAGTTCCCGACGAGAGATGAGGGCTGAGGCGTTGCGCCGGGCTGTTGAAGAAGGCAGTTTGCCGGCAGACGCCCTCCAATCAGATGATGAAAGTGTTTCTGAGGAGAGCACACCGCATGACGACGAGCGTTCTCGGACCCAGTATAGTTATACTGTCTTCCATATCATTTTCTTTCTTGCTACGGCCTGGGTCGCAACGTTGTTAACTATGCAGTACGAGGAGAGCACCAGGGATCGCGACTTCGCCACTGTGGGCCGTACTTATGCAGCGAGCTGGATCAAGATAGGTAGCGCCTGGGTGTGTTATGGGCTGTACATCTGGAGCTTGGTTGCGCCAATCATTCTTCCTGATCGATTCGAATTCTCCTAAGTTTTGAACGGGGGTTTGAAGGTTGTTGATGTCTCGTGCTGGGCATTACTTTTATCAGTAGGGAGTCTTGGCGTCGGCTTGCAGATCCAACTTGTGCTGCGGTTGCCTCATTGAATTGAAATTGTCACTTTTTCTCTATATTAGTCTATATAATGCACACCGAGAGTGCATGTTACTTCTGTACTCTCTTCATTGCTGTCATCTATAAGTACAAGCCTCACCACTTTATTCTATCGCTTGCTCAAGGGCGCCGGCGTGAGGACAAATTCTTGCATAACTCTACTCCAGAGGCTGAGCGTCAATCTAAAACCACTACGGATTCAAAGCGTGTCTGCCTTTGGTCGTCGTAGCTATGGTGGCGACACCGTATGTTATTCTGTTCATTCAGAACGCCTCTTGATTCTACTACCCTACCGGCTCGATTTGACCTCCTTGTGCTAGCCTGCTCATGAAATCATGGGAGTTCGCTCCCACTTCTATAATACACTTCAGGATGTCGTTTGTTTTTAAAAAGCACACTGTCAATTTAGGTTCCTAGGATACCCTAATTAGTAGCCTAGCCCAAACTCCGTTAAGCATCTAGTAAAGCATCTAGGCGAAGGGCCCTGAAGGGGATTTGTTGCTGATAGATTCAAAAACACGCAAGTTGTGTACTAGTTGAAAGAATGCACATGGTATGCGTCCAATATTTAAAGGGAGGCTCGTTTCACAGCTTCATATTCATGTCTTGATCTACATTTACTCTTTGGTGAGTGGTGTCTTGCCTAGCTCTGCTGCAGCACCCGTTGCATGAAACCCGTCCAATGTTACAGTCACTGCTCCAGCTTGAACGAGCTACGACAACTTCCAATCAGTATCTCAACAAACAATGTCGTAACTGGCTTGTGAATGGGGTACTTACCGCACGAGACAAATCCTCAATCAGATCATTCACGTCTTCTATCCCTACACAGAGACGAATGATGTCCTCGGGCATTTGCCTCTCTCGACGTGTCTTCGCATCAATACTTGCATGACTCATTTGACACGGCATACTGATGAGACTATTCACGCAGCCAAAACTAACACTGATTGCCCATAGCCTTGCTGCCTCCACGATTCGCTCCGACATGGCTGCATCTCCAGTCTCAAAAGACAAAACGGCACCAGCTCCTCGCGCAATAGACCAATGCAAATCATATTGCGGATGCGACTGAAGGCCTGGATACCGAACACGAAACCCATGAGACTCAAGAAACTCAGCAATCGCCTGTGCGCTGGCTTGTTGCTTCTCCATGCGAATGGCAAGAGTCTTGACACCACGCATAAGGAGAAACGAGTCGTTAGGAGACAGACCGCAACCAGTCGAGTTGATTGTGAAGAATAATTTGTCTCCAATGGATGCTTCGTTGCAAGCAATGACACCGGCCATGATGTCGTGGTGCCCAGATAGATACTTGGTGCCGGATTCGTAGACAATGTCTGCCCCTAGATCCAACGGATTGCACAGCATCGGAGAGAGCATGGTGTTGTCAACTACAACCAGAGCCTTGGAATTGGCGTCATGAGCCATTTGAGCAATAGACGCCAGATCTACTATCTTAATCAGAGGGTTCGTTGGAGTCTCTAGTAAGACCATGGCTGTTTTGTCGGATATTCTCGCTTGGAGGGCTTCGACTTTTGTTGTGTCAACATGGTGTACAATAATGCCCTGATTCGTGGCCATATATGTGAGCAAGCGATGGGTACCACCATACAAGTCGTCTCCGGTGATAACCTCGTCACCGGGGCGCAACAAACGAGTGATGACATCCAAAGCACCCATACCGGAGCTCACAGCAAGTGCGCGATTTGCATTCATAATCTTGGCGAGATGTCTCTCGAGATGCGTTCGAGTCGGGTTGCCGGATCGTGTGTAGTCATAGTCTTGCTGACCGCCAGCAGCCGAAGTCTGCTTAAATGTTGCAGATTGGTAGATAGGGATGCTTGAGGCACCATACTGGTCCTTACCTTCGGTGTAGACCAATTCAGTTGCCAAAGCATAGCGTCGGCGGCCATTTCGAGGGCTTGACGGGGCTGGTGATGGAGGAAGATCGTGTCCATCAAGATCGGTCTTAGCAGGACCTGTGACGCTCTTGGTAGCACTCGGGTTGATAGGCTTCGAGGAAGCCATATTGCTAGGATTGTCGGAGAGGGCCCTTAAATTGCTAGTACCAGAAGGCCACGAGTAACAAGTGTGAGAAGCCAAAGGGATGGGCAATCACTTGGCCGAAACCGCAGGATCTGGGTAGGGAGAGTTGAGTTGGAGTAAGGAGGAAATTCGGAAAGAAAAGTTGAGCTCCCCGCCACCGGAGACGAGTTACTGAAGTTTGTGGAGGGCAGTCAACGTTGATCCATCCCTTTGGCTGTGCTAAGGTGCCAGTCAGGTATCGAATTCTGGTTTTAGCCAATTAAAAACCCTACATTTAAAGATACTTAACCCCGCTAGGAAATAATAAGATGATAGAAGTACTAGCAATGCTGTGAGTTACAAAGAGCTACATCGCACATATTACAGCCGAACCTAGCGTATGGGGCCTTTTTGACGCTAAAAAGGTACCCGTTAGGTATCGCAGAAAAAATGGGGCCGATACCTGACTGGCACCTTAGCACAGCCAAAGGGATATGCTGCGTGTCCGATTCTGGGGTTCGAGTGGGCCTGGCATAGGTGAATTGCTCGGGGTGCGTTTTCATTTTGCTCGGGGTGCGTTTTACCCCACTTCACCCACTTTTTTACGGTGAGGCCCGCTACCACACCTCACAGTACATTTTTAATATAAACGTATAGCAGCTTTACTTAACACTAAAAAGCTCTAATGAAAATTAATGGATTTTTTAATAAGGCTATAGCTATATAATTTTTTTAATGGTAATAGCGTTTTTTCTTCTTTAATACTATAATTAATATTATAATAGCTAAAAATCTAAAAAATCCGCCCCTAAATTTACCGCTATTACTAGGGTATACGCTATTACTAGGTTATAGTAGCTTTAATAATCTTTTTAATGCTATACAGCTATTTAATTACTAAAATAGAGTTAAATTTAAAAAAAGGTTTATAAATTTAAATATTATTAACGGTATTTAATAGCCTTATTAGAGCTAGCTTAATTGTAATTATAGTAAGTAATAAAGGCCGCCTTAAAGAGCTGGAATTTAATAGACTCGCTTACGAAAAACTAACTGCATTTACTAGCTTAAGGTAATATCTGTTAATTAATTCGGTTATTAGGTATAGTATTATAAGGAGTAAGGCCGTTATAATCACGATAAATCTAGCGATACCTTTATATATTTAATATATCGTTAATTTATAAAGTAATAAAAATAATAGATATCGCGCCTTTTAAAGTATTAAAGCTTATTAGCTTAAGGTATTAGCTTAATTATTTAAGTTAAAGAAGAAGAAGAGCTTTATTTTCGTTTAAAAGACATTTATAATTAACGTTAAAGAGCTTATTAAGTGGATTTAACTAGTTATATATTTACCTAATAGTTTATTAAGGTTCTTAAAGAAAAAGGCCTATCTTATAAAATTAAATTTAATAATAAATATCGTATTAAAAGCGCTATTTAAATTTACCCTTCTTATATTAAAAAATAAAATTTTTTTT